AAGGAAATTTCAAAAAAAAAATCTCTCAACTGGGGATGTTTACTGGTCAGTGTTTTACTCTAAGAACCAGAGCATCTTGATTTGCTGCTGCTCAGCATACAGCTGAGAGCTGAGAAATGCTGAACTCATGCGGCTAACGCATACGAAACGGATGCACGATACATATTCCCCTTTCACTTCGTATGTTCGCTGGTATAGTGTGTTACCGTTGTACTGGCAATAGCGTCAACGGCAGCACATACGAAGCGAAAGGGGAATATGTATCGTGCATCCGTTTCATATGCGTTAGCCGCACGAGCTCAGCATTTCTCAGCTCTCAGTAATATGCTGAGCAGCAGCAAATCAGGATACTCTGCTAAGAACGCTTCAATTTGGGGTTATTTAGGGCCAATTTTCGTGAAAATTTCATTTCAGATGAATATCACATTAAGCATTTTTTGATTTTGCAGTAGTAAATGAAATTGTATATACAAGACTGCAATATGACGAAAACCAAAGAAATTTGAGAAGTACAGAACTGATTAGGGTTAGGGCTAGGGGTTTTCATGTAAGATTTTGTTTCACGAATTCGACGAATAAACAACAGTATAACAAATAATACAAATTTTTACAAATCATGCAAATCTTTACCGATTTCACTATTTTGTGCCAAAAATCCACCGATATTCGCCGATATGCGAAGTGTCTTTGTTCTGGAAGTGGGCTTTGGTGGATCCTCAGGATCGTTCAGAACTTCTCGCAGATCTGGAAGTGGACCCTCAGGATGGGTCAGGGCATTGTCAAACCATGGTCTGGTCGATCCAGAGGATCCACCAAAACCAAATTCCAGAACTGGGAGCGGTTCTGATGATCCTGTGGATCCACCAAAACCCACTTCCAGAACAATTAAGTATCAAAAAATACCCGAATATTAACGATATTTTACAGATATGCCGATATTTCACCGATATGCCAATACGCAACGATAATACGCAAATATTATCCAATAAAAATACATGCAAACCCCTAGGGTTAGGGTATTTTCATCGAACTAGAATTGTAGAAACTGTACCTTGGCAAGAGAAGCATTTTTAGAATAGGGATCAAGACAATTTTTTAGATACAATATTGTCAAATTGGAAAATGTAATATTTATTGACTGGTGAAAAATGTAACTTGTACGTATTATGTAGAAATTAACAGTGAACACAATCGATATCTGCTACTCTGAAGTCGAAAAGGCTTGTAGCTGGGTATACGATCGAATGATGTTTCATTGTGAACGATATTTTACAAATTTTGTGATAAATTCAGTCTGTGATCAGAAATAAATAAATGAAAACTGTTCTGAACAAAATCAAAAAAATATGAATGAGGCTTGTAAATAGTTTCGAACTGTTGATCAAGCTAAAATAAAAATACCCTGATAATTTACTTCGTTTCTCACTGAGTATGATCATGAATATTTTTATTGGTTTGTGAAAATTTACAGAAGTACGTGCTGTTGACACATCTTAAAATTCCGTAGCGACAAAAACACTGTTACTCATGTACGATAACAATAACAATAACATTGTTTGCGTAGGCTTGTACGTTTGACATCTGGTTCTTTATTTTTCAGACTTGAGTTTTATTAGAAATTTAATTAATAATGTAATTGCAAATTCTCATAATAATTCTAGTTATTGATATTGTAAATAAAGAGTTCATGTCTCCATCAGGACTCAGGACTAATGTTTGGTATCTGTTGCATTGGAAATCATTGAAGTAATGGAAAGATGTTCCATACCACTTTCCAAAAATAAGATTTTGCAAATTAGATATACAATACTTGGCAACCGAAAACTGCAAGCACGTGTATTGTGTGTGTATGGTTTTAATATTATTAGTAATAATAGTAGTAGTAATAAGGAATCTTGAACAGACAATACACGTGCTTGCAATTTTCGATTGTCAAGTATAATAATTTATAACAACCACAATTTTTGCCTAGATGGCTGTAGTACAGTGAATCTAATATTTTTGGTAGACAAAATTTTGCATGACACACTCCACTCACACGCCATTCGTATATGAATCCTATGTTAGTGGAGTTTACTCTCTGCTTACTTTGCTTGTTATTTTGTCTATCAAAAAAATTAGATTCACTGTACTAATGCAGTTAGCAGTGGAATGCAACCATACCAGTCCACCAGGGGTCCAGGGTGTCCGCTTAAACCCCCCTCCCCTTGAAGAAGAGTTTCTGAAGTCTGCAGTAAATAAAATGTACTTTATACGGGACGTGAATATATAGCTAATCATAGGATTCACTAAATCATAAGAGCTGATAGGGTTTCAAAATGTCGCACATATTCTACGTGCTTGAAAAAAATTTATTTTGAAAAAAATATTATCGGTGAACTGTTATTTCAAAGCGTAAATTTATCTGCCACATGCAAGAATTAACGCTTATTAGTAAAGCAAACAAACTTTTAAAAACAACATACCCTTGGAAAATTTTCCATTCCCAAATACGTTTTATTATTTACAAGAATGTTTTCCAGCGTGATCAAAAACACCAACAACCAGTATAAATATTGGTTGGCACGAATAGCAAATTCAGTATTGAATTTATTCTTCGTTGCTAAACATGAAATTTTCATCTGTATTTTTGGGGGTTGTTTTGTCGTTGGTAATTATCACACTCTTAATAGTGTGTATTTGGAAAAATATTTCCAATATTTTAAATATTTTTATTGTTAACAGGTCCTGGTGTTGGTAAATGTTGCCGAGGGAACTGGATCTCGCCGACTTAGAGTTGATCGCAACCGTAGTAATGCAGGCGAAGACAGGAATGAACCGCAAACCACAGGTAGTTTTCATCGTGGTAAGTAGTTTTTTTTAAACGGTATTTTAGATTCAGACATTCAATATTCCCGTTTTTTATATCTTTATTTCTTGATACATACAGGTCGATCTAGTAGACAATCGGGTGGTAAGTAGTGTGAGGAAAATACTATTTTTTAGATTCAGACAGGATTTAAGATGCCTGTTTTTATTTTTCGTAAAACTTTATAATATGTATATTGAAAATTAATTAAAACACCATTAAATTTGAGTCAACTAATAATAGAAAATATATTTCTTGAGATTCGTATGCATTTCAACCAGTTTACTGGCCATCGACAGCGACACGACTAACGCTACAAAAATATTTCTCTCGTAACAAAACATAGTCGACACACCATCGGTGTAATCACACAATCAAAGTGACAAAATCCAATGTCAATGTAAATGTAACAAGAACAAGAGTGAATTTTTTTAAAGAACGCAAAACAAACATACATTTAAATGAAATTTCACATATATCAAAATAAACCTAGTGAAACGTAACACATCAACAAATGTTGAACAGAGATGATTCAATGTTCCCGTTATCAGCGTTCAGCGCAGTCGCATCTCTGTGTATATAGTAGCTCTCAATAGCATCCAATCTCCTACTGTCTGTGACGCTTGCACGCAGCCGTACATCATTTAAAGTGAGTGGCAAATGTTGTTCTTCTAATGCATGTGCCGCTATTGCTGATTTTCTCGGTTCATTGTTTTTTATGTAGTTTAGGTGGTCTTTAAATCTAATCAAAACTGAGCGTTTTGTTTGTCCATAGTAATTACGGTTGCAGTGGCTACATTTTATTTCGTACACCCCTGGTTTATCTAAACTGTCTTTTTTGTCTTTAACGCTGACAATTTTTGATTTTAATTTAAAAGGATTTGAGAACACCAGTCTATGTATTTCAGATAGATATCCATCCGAGATATTTTAGAATATCTGGATATTTAACGCAGCTGCACAGAGCCAGAGCTGTGTGTATCGCACGTAGAATCTACGGTATGTCGCTACACGTAAAATACAGACACAGTGTGACTGTGTACGTGCGGCACTTGATACACATATACGTCGCGACATACCGTAGATTCTATTTGCGACGCACACAGCTCTGGCGCTGTGCAGTTGCGTTGAATATCCAGATATTCTAAAATATCTCGGATGGATATCTATCTGAAATACATAGACTGGAGAACACCAACTGCATATTATTCTGTTCAAAAGGAGAGAAATATTTTTGTAGCGTTAGTCGTGTCGCTGTCGATGGCCAGTAAACTGGTTGAAATGCATACGAATCTCAAGAAATATATTTTCTATTATTAGTTGACTCAAATTTAATGGTGTTTTAATTAATTTTCAATATATATATTGGAGTCATCGTATTTGTTCATCAATTTTATAATATTTATAATATGTGTCTTTCTTGATATGCAAAGTGAGTAGTACTGGTAGATATAGTAGACAAAGTTCAAGAAAAACACTGTTTTTTATTCAAGCATTCCTGTTTCATTAATATTTGCGTTTCTTGATATGTAAAGGTGATAATGAGGGTGTTTCTGGAAGTGACTATCACGCTCACGTAGAACATATGAAGTATATTTTTTATTTCAGCATAATTGAAGGAAACTGACTAATTTAAAAAATATTTCCTAATTATTCAGCAAACAAGCTGCGAAAGCACAATGTCAAGAAATGTTAGTATTTCAATCCATTTTCTTTTTGTGATCTTTTTTAAGAGAGTGCTTGGAATTGTTCAAATTTTATTTCTTTCATAAAGGATTGACTCGCATCGGAAGACATTGGCAAGTCTTGAAAAACAGCTCAGAAAAACTAATTTGGCCAATGATAAGTAAGATTCATAATCATAATAAAACAAAATGAATATTCTGACATATTAACGATATTTTTTATGATCAACAGGAGGGAAAGCTATCAGAATATGAAGTAAAAATTTTGTTAAAATATTTCACACTTTAATGTCTTAATAATGAACATTTTGTATTTCTTACATCTTCCATCAACAGACAACAAACGGAAGCCTTTTTATTGTAAGAACACTTATTAAATTTCATGACATATTCAGTCTTATGTAACTCATTTTACTAAATATAGGGATTTGTACAGACAAATTCAAACGTACGAATAAACATCGCTCATATAGGATGAAGCTTGATAATAGACACCGAGATGGACAACAAATTAAAAACACTATCTAAATTCGAAACTACAGAAGATGATTATTTTGTTTGTTTATTCTCGATTTTTTGTTGTTGAATAAATTTAATTTTTCAAATAATAAAAAATGATGTGACTGGAAAAATATATAGTTTTCACATTTTGTTAATTTTGTATGGTCGTTGCTTAGCAATGTAATTCAAAATATAATTTCAAAAATAATAGCGAGCCATAGCGAGCCATTTTTAGTTTTTCCTATAGTAAACTTTTCAAAAAAATAATTTTATAAGTCGCAAAATGATATAATAGTTATAGCGAGCCACAGCGAGCCATAGCGGGCCATAGCGAGCCATAGCGAGCCATAGCGAGCCATAGCGAGCCATAGTGAGCCAAAGCGAGCCATAGTGAGCCAAAGCGAGCCATAGCGAGCCATAGCGAACCATAGCGAGCCATAGCGAACCATAGCGAGCCATAGCGAACCATAGCGATCCATAGCGAGCCATAGCGAGGTATAGCGAGCCATAGCGAGGCATAGCGAGCCATAGGGAGGCATAGCGAGCCATAGCGAGGCATAGCGAGCCATAGCGAGGCATAGCGAGCCATAGCGAGGCATAGCGAGCCATAGCGAGCCATTTGTAGTTTTTCCTATAGTAAACTTTTCAAAAAAATAATTTTATATGTCGCAAAATGATATAATAGTTATAGCGAGCCATAGCAAGCCACAGCCAGCCATAGCGAGCCATAGCGAGCCATAGTGAGCCAAAGCGAGCCATAGCGAGGCATAGCGAGCCATAGCGAGGCATAGCGAGGCATAGCGAGGCATAGCGAGGCATAGCG